GAACAGCAAACGAGCAAAATCCCAAAAGAACAAATGCTTTTAAAGTCAACGAGAGGACCAGCTCACACCGCACTGATTAAACAACACGCGTTTTTCGGAGTTACAAACGACGTCGTTTTATCTCCCACAAACACCATAGCCGGTTTCATTGACTACCACGTCATCTTTTGACTTGTCAATCTCCTCTATAAATAGTTCTCTAAAACGCAGTTATTCTACACACTCAAACTAAAACATACACTTAATCTTCTCTAAAACCCTAAAATATAAAAATACAACATGGGTTTGATTAGATCATTATGCTTATTCATTACCTTCCTCAGTTACCTAGTCATCACGGTCAATGGCCAAACCTCTGGTCCTGTTTCTGGCACAAGGATCGGGTTTTATGCGACTACGTGTCCTAACGCCGAGACCATTGTCCGAAACGCTGTGACAGCTGGTTTCAGCTCTGATCCGAGAATCGCACCTGGAATATTGAGAATGCATTTCCACGACTGCTTCGTCCTAGGTTGTGACGGTTCGATCCTTATATCCGGAACTAACACCGAGAGAACCGCCGGACCAAACGCCAACCTCCGTGGATTTGAAGTCATAGACAACGCCAAAACGCAACTCGAAGCYGCGTGTCCAGGAATCGTCTCTTGTGCTGATATTTTGACCTTAGCCGCTCGTGACACTGTCGTCCTCGTAAGCCCTTATCCATAAACGCAAATGCATTATATTACTTTTATTATTTTATATGTAAATAACTTTTTTACGTGCATGGGGTTAATTTACATGCAGACGAGAGGAACAGGTTGGCAAGTACCAACGGGACGTAGAGATGGTCGAGTTTCTATTGCTTCGAACGCTAACAATCTCCCTGGTCCTCGTGACTCCGTCGCGGTTCAACAACAGAAATTCTCCGCTCTCGGACTTAATACTCGCGATCTCGTCGTTCTCGCCGGTTAGTACTTTAATTTACATTTTTTACACAATTCAAGACCTATATATTACCATCAATTCAAAAAAATAAACGTTAAGAAACTCTTCATGTGTTCGTTGAACACTTGAAAACCGTACGTCTAACTAAACATTTTAAGGCCTATATATATTTTATTATTTAAACCTTTTCTTTTATCTTCTAAAAAAAAAGTTAAAAAAAAAAACTATTTTCAACATA